CTGGCCCGCGGAGAGCTGGCGCGCGCCGTGGTGCTGGACGAGGGCAGCGCCTCGGTGGCTGAGCTGCGGCCCGACGGCCCGGCGCACGTGCTGCTCGCAGCGCTGCTGCACGAGACCCGCGCGGGCCCCACCGCCGTGTGCTTCCTGCGAGGTGAGTGGCCCTGCTCTGGCCCTGGCCTAGGCGCCGCCGTGCGCCCCTCGCCCCTGCCCCCCGCCCGGGCCCTAGATCTGCGGCTCACCGTGCCCTCCCCACCCCGCAGGAGGCTTCGATGGCTTCCAGGCTAGCTGTCCGGATCTGTGCTCTGAGGGACCTGCCCCGGTGCTGCCCCCTGCAGGGACCGAAAGCAGCAGCTCTGACCTCAGGGTTCCCATCTATGACCAGGTGAGTTGACATCTGGACTTCTTGGCACTGACTCCTTCCTCGACCCCATGCTAGATGGGCGCCCTTACAGGAGAAGTCTCTATGCACGTTCACCCGTGCACTGTGTGTAGGGAGGAGTTCCAGGACTGCACCCGTTCTAGCGTATTCGTATTTGTTGGTCCCCGTGGATTCTTTGGGAAACGGAGAGCACTTCTGTCCTACAGAGCATGTCTGTGTGTTCTCTGCTCATCCCAGCATCCTTGGTCCAGCCCTGGGCCAGCCAGGAGGTGTCCCAGGGTGGTGCTCAGCTGTCCTGGCCAGGGCTGAAAAGGCCTCACCATTGCTCTGTCCTCCTCCAGGGTGGCCCCGTGGAGATCCTGCCCTTTCTGTACCTGGGCAGCTGCAGCCACTCCTCAGACCTGCAGGGCCTTCGGGCCTGTGGTATCACAGCCGTCCTCAACGTGTCAGCCAGTTGCCCCAACCACTTTGAGGGCTTGCTCCGCTACAAGAGCATCCCGGTGGAGGACAACCAGATGGTGGAGATCAGCGCCTGGTTCGAGGAGGCCATAGGCTTTATCGGTGAGAAGGACTTCAGACCAGGGCCTGGGGCCTGTGGTGTCAGGGGAAGCTGGGGACACCCATCTCCGGGCTGATTCCTGACTCCCACCCTGTCTCTCTCAGACTCTGTGAAGAGCAGCGGTGGCCGGGTGCTGGTACACTGCCAGGCGGGCATCTCGCGCTCTGCCACCATCTGCCTGGCATACCTGATCCAGAGCCACCGGGTGCGGCTGGACGAAGCCTTCGACTTTGTGAAGCAGCGCCGGGGAGTCATCTCTCCCAACTTCAGCTTCATGGGGCAGCTCCTGCAGTTTGAGACACAGGTGCTATGTCACTGAGGCAGGGCTCTCTGCCAGCCGCATGCTGCCAGACCCTCCTGATGCCTGGTGGGCCAACTATGGACATGTGGGGGTCCCTGTGGCTAAGTGCATCCCTCACTGTGGTGGGGGGCTGCTACCTCCTTGAACCTAAAAAGGCCCTCAGGTGGCGACACCAGGAGTGCAGGGCTGTGGCCTTTGGGTGCTCTTCTGCTAGGGGTTTAACAGCTAGTCCTTGTTCGAGGGCTCATCTGCTCTCCCCTCCTTGGCAGAAGTTAACTGGACTCTACACACTGGACTCTCTGGTCCTATCTACCGGGTTGAAACCAGAGAGCCCCAAGGAACAAGCTGTGACAACCAGGAGCCTCATAGGGAGGGGAGTGTCCTGGAGCCCGAGCCCTGTGCTCCTGGAGGAGCCGGTTGCTCGGAAGTGACGCATGTGGCACACAGAGACCTCTTGCTTGCGTGTGTCTGTGCGAGCGTTTCTCGCCTGTGTTGGCGCCGGAAAGTTATTTGTGTCCAACTGACATTTAACACTCCCTCCCCCACTTCCTCCCAGCCCACGGGGGTTGGAAACTTAGCACTTTATATTTATACAGAACATGGGGGGGGGAAATAAAGTATTTGTTTTGTTTAAAAAATGACTCCCTAGTGTCTTGTCTTCAGTTCACCCCCCTCCCCAAGGGTCCAGAGATGTTTCCTGCTTGGGCCCCATCTCTGCTCCTACTAATCTGGCCTTGGTCTAGAGCAGAAGTGGTGGGTGCTGGGAGGCTGGGACTCCGGGCCGGGTCTGGTGCCACCCTGACTTGCTTACTGATCACAGCGGGATGGGTGTGTATTCCTATGGGAGTGTGCATGTGTATGTCGCCTCAGGAATGTGTGTCCCCTGTGTGTGATGTGTGTGCTTATGCATCTTACATGCCCACATGTAAGGCTTCTTCCTCACAGGAGGACAGCAGGGTCTGTCATCTCTACCCGCATTCCAAGCTGGGCCAGAAGCCTCAGTGCCTGGCCCCCCTGGGTGTGTGGTGCCCCTGTTCCAGGGCCCCTCCTATCCCCAGGAAGTATGGCCCAGTGTCTGGGGTGAGGACATGTCACTAGGGATTAGTAGCTCTCACAGGGGCCCAACTCTTGCCCCTGGATGTCAGGGAGGTGTCCCTACAGAACTCCACTCAATGCCAGAGTAGAGCCAGGTTGATTGTTGTGTTTGTTGTTGTCCCCCTCACACACACGTTGTGGGCCGAACCCAGGGCTCTCCCGCTTGAGCTTTTAAATTTAATTTTATTTTGAAATGGTCTTGCTGAGTTTCTCAGGCCGGGCTTGAATGTTCAGTCCTGCTTCAGCCTCCGAAGTGCTAAGATCATAGGCATCCACCACCATGCCCAGTAGGGAGCCAGTTCCACTTGACTTCTAAGTCAGTGCTTCTGCTGTGAATGGGCTCATCACCGGCCCTCACTCCTAGGCTGAGGCTTGGCCCGGGTGCACATTCAGGAGGTTTGCTGCGGAGGACTGTGGGAGCCGGCCTGGCCTGTGAGCTGTGCAGGAATCTGGCATCTGGTGTGAAGTGGCAACATCTGCGGCCAGTCACTGGCCATCTCACACAGCAGGATGCCAGGCCTCATGCCGCTCCCATTTCTCCTCCCTTCCTTGTGTGTTTTGATAGTTTGTTTTCCAAACAAATGAACTTTTTTTCCCTCTCAATTTATTTTAAAAATGCAGCCAGGCATGGCAGCACATGCCTGTAATCCCAGCACTTGGGAGGCTGAGGCAAAAGGATCACCAGCCTGGTTTATGTAGTGCATTCAGGGCTAGCCTGAACCACACAGCAAGACCCTGTGTCAAAAAAAAAAAAAAAAAAAAAAAAAAATTGATCGGGGCTGGCCAAATAGCTCAGTGGATTAAAGCACCTGCTTATGCAGACCCAGGGGCCTGGGGTTTGATCCCCTGTGTGTGATGTGTGTGCTTATGCATCTTACATGCCCACATGTAAGGCTTCTTTAGTGAATGAGACTGGGCCTGGTGGCGCTTGCCTATAATCCCAGCTCTGAGGAGGCTGAAAACAGGAGAATCATTTCAAGTCTGATCTGTGTAGTGAGACCCTGTAGACCCTATACTAAAAGTACATTAAAAAAAGTTAGCCACCCTTCCTACTAAAAAAACAATTGATCACCTTTACTGTTTTAAGGGGTCAGTAGTGTTAGGTAGATTCTTGGAGCCAGACAACTCTGTTGGAATTTCCATTTTGCGAAACAGAAAATCTGCCCCTTAACTCCTACCCCGGTGGCCTCTGCCCTCGTTTCTGCACATGAATTGGACCACAGGTGGGCCCTGGAGCAGCAGCCTCAGCCACATTTGTCTTCTGGGACCCAGCTTTGTTCCCAAGAAGAATATCCTCAAGACAGACTTTGTGAAGAACCTGCTTCTCTATTTGAGCATTGTAATAATTATCATTTTAATATCTTTTCTCAGCATTTTTTTTTTTGTACTGAGGATTGAACCCAGGGGTGCCCTCTCACTTAGCTATGTCCCCAACCCTTTTTATTTAGAAGCAGAGTTCTGCTAAGCTGCCCAGGCTGACTTCAAATTTCCAATTCTTTTGCCTTAGCCTCCCGAGTAGCTGGGCTGACAGCGTGTGCCGTATGTGGAGCTTTCCTGAGGACTCATTTGAAGTGGTCAGCTCCATGGTGACCATTTAAAAAAAATTTAATGCATAAACATGTAGAACTTTCTCTATTAGAGAAATTATACATATTGGTAACCCACATGCTCACCTCCAGGACGTGAGCCCCGCTGGGTCTCTGGGTGGCTGGGCTGGCGACCAACAGGATTATTTCCTGGCTCTGCGGTGGAGACAGACCAGGGCTGCTCACGCAGGCTGTGGTGGGTGTGGGAGGGGTCTCAGTGTCCCAAGTTCCATCTTTCCTGTGGCATGACAGCCTTCTCTGGGTGCTTTGATGATGACGGGTGTTCAGGATGAGGAATATCAGGGAGCCCTGAACTTGTGATTGTGGCTCAGTCCTCCCCCCGATCTCGGGCTTTCTGGGACAGGGTCTTACTATCTAGTGCAGGATGACCTTGAACTTGTGATGATCCTCCTGCCTCAGCCTCCAGAATGCTGGGATTATAGGTGTGCGCCCCCACACCCTGTTGTGATCTTTTCTTCACTTTTCCATATAAAAGGTGTAGTGACTTCCTCTGCCCAGATACACTGGGGGACCTTGGGGCTTTTCCTGTGTCTGTGTGCCCAGGTGAAGCACAGTACAGGATTTCCCCAGCCAGAGGGGGATACAGCCCGGCCCCGCGGCCCAGGGCCCAGCGCATCCTTCTGCAGTGCTTCTCTGCCCTCTGGCGGCAGGCAGGAGGGAACCTCAGCGGAGCCACACGCCCAATGGGGCCTGGCAGGTGGATCCGTCCCGTCCTGAGGGCTGGAGCCACAGGCTGGAGCTGAGATGTTACAGGTGGAGGTGGTTGGGGCCTGCAGGTGGAAGTGCTTGTGTGGGTGGAGGTGGCTGGGGAGCTGCAGGTGGGGGCTGGAGAAGCTGCTATTTAAGAGGGGGTGGGGCTGAGCCTGCTGTGATCGGATGTCTTGTTCTGCCTCAACAGTGTTCTTGCCTTCTGAGGGGCCGGTGGGGACCATGGGGAGCATGGGGAGCATGGGAAGCCTTTGGCCCTGGCTGCTGGTTCTGCTCTCCTTGCCAGGTAAGCAGTGCCAGCTCTTGAGGTGCAGGGAGAGACCAGGAAATGGTGCAGGGCTTCCTTGAGCTTCCCGGCTCTCTGGGGTACTCCTAGAAGAGCCCTGACCCCAGGAGGAGACCCTGAAAACACCAGGGGCAGCAGGGTGCAGGTGTTGTGCCCCAGACTGCCTTGTTTTAGGACGGGAGTTTCCCTACAGCCTGGCTGGGGGGTGAGGTCAAATCCCCCAGGCTGAGTGCTTTTTCAAAAGCTCAAGTTCAGAAAGGGAGCCGAAGAGCACATGCCTTTAAAAATTAAAAAAAAAAAATACTGGCACTGAGGATTGAACCCAGCACTCCTGCACTTAGTTACACCATCATGTCCCTTTAATTTTTTTTTTTTTCTGTACTGGGGATTAAACTCAGGACCCTGCGCTTGCCAGGCAAGCACTTATTCTATTGAGCTATCTCCCCAGCCCCTAAAATTTTCTTATTGTGAAATAATACAATTTTTATTGTGACAGGCTGGCAAGATAGCTCAGTGGACAAAGCTCCTACTTAGACAAGCACAGGGGCCATGGTTCGATCCCCAGCACTATATGTCACACCAGCCCTACCCCTGAGTGGGCTGAGCAGGCCATTGAGACCCAGTATGGTGGCACATGCCTGTAATCCCAGTACTGGGGAGGCTGAAAACAGGAGGATCACTACGGGTCCGAGCTGAGTAGTGAAACCCTGTATCAAATACATTTAAAAAAAATTTTTTTTAAAAAATGGTACAGGCAAGCACTTGGTACAGGCAAGGGTTTCCTTAAGTTGATAAATTGCCCAAAGTCACCATTCTTCTGCCTTAGTCTCCCGGAGTGCTGGGATTACAGGTCTACACTGCCAGCCTGGCTAGCACAGGTCAGGTGCTCGAGGGACTCCTCCTTTCAAGTTGACACCTTGGTACTTGTTGAGCTGAGCTGGGCCAGGCAGGCCTCGGGGTCTTCAGGCTGGACCACCCGGCCTCAGGGGCTGGGGCTGGCAGCCACTGCCTGTCCTGCTGTCCTGCGTTCCTGCTGGGACCTTCAGGCACCTTTGTGTCTGCACTGTCTGGGCCAGGTGTGATCCTCGGAGTGGACCCAGCCACCCAGTGTGCTGAAGCCCGCAGTGCCAGCTTCTCAGAAGACCTCACCCCTTGGGGGACTCAGGAGTCCTGGGACAAGGACATCCCTGCTATTAACCAAGGTGAGGGCAATGCGCCTCCTGGTGGCCTGGAGAGGTATGACACTGTCCCAGGAATGTGAAAATGCACTACTAGCATTTGGCTGTGCAGGAAAAGCTTGGGGGAAATGTATGGGCAGGCAGGCAGGAAGTAAGAGGCCAGTGCTGAAATCTGTTTTTCTGTAGCTTTCCTGGAGAACTTCTGTGTTTTCTTTTCCGAGTAGTGGCGGTTCCGATAATTGAGTGCAGGGCCTTCTCAGTGAGCTACATCCTTGGCTCTTTTCTTGTTTTGAGACAGTGTTGCTAAGTACCCTGAAGGCGTAGTTGTTGTGTGGGCTCAGTGTTGCTTGGATGTGACCCTCCTGCCTCTGCCTCAGCCTCCCAGAGTCCTGGGATTACAGATGAGCGCCGCCATCACATCTGGCTAAGACTACAGGTCTTAAAATGGCCTGGCAAGAGTCTAAGGCACTGAGCTCTCGGTCTGGAAGTTGCACCAAGTTATTAGCAGATGAGGTGTCAGCTACCCTGGGGTGGGGGGACAGTCTGCAGTGTGGTGTGGCCTGCAGCTCAGGTCTTTTTCTCTGGGGGTCCCAGCTGAGGAGGACACAGGCACGCAGGGATGAGGGTCAGAGTTCAGATGCCAGTGCCTTCCTGGGCCCGGGTGTTGGGGGAGTGGGGGTGACCGCGCCCTCTGGAGGGCTCTCAGTGGAGGTGGTGGCTGCTGTGAGATTTGTGCCCTTTTCTCTGTGCTGGGTTGGAGCCCACACAACAACTACACCTTCAGGGGACACCATTCCCTTCTCTGGCCAGTGTGCAAGGTCTGAAGGGAGCCAGATGCCTGAAGGGGGACTCCCCTGGCACTGACTTTCAGACGCGATGGGGAAATTCCACGCGAGTGATGCTAACACTCTCTGGGAGCCCCCGCAGTGGCCAGCAGCCCCTATACCCTGCCCAAGTGGCTCCGCCTGAGAAGCTGGGTATCCCCAGCTGCCTGTGCGACGGCTGCTGATGGCTCCCAGCTGGGCCAGATCCCAGTAAAAGCCTTGGAGAGGCTGCTGCTTCCCATTACAGTGGCCCATGGTGGCTGGGGGGCGAGCAGAGTATGAGCCTGGCCCTGTCCTCAAAGTGGGATGCACCTGTGCCCTTTGTGGTCCGGTCCTTCCTGAGACCTCTGTGGAGGGCTGGGACAATCTGGGCCAGGACGGGCATGAGGGGCTGGCCTCTCGCTTCCTGTGCGGTGCCGGTGAGGTTCTGCCCTTGGCAGTCCACAGCCCTGCATGTGACTACCTCTCACTAGGAGAGTGCGCCTGGGGATGAGGTGGGGCAGGTTCTGAGGAGCGCAGTTGGGAATGGGGCTGAGGACTCAGCTGGGGGAAGCCACTTTCTAAGCATGGGTGCCCTGAAGTGGCAACTGAAGCTCTACTGGGCCTGTCCATGCAGGCAGTGTTGTGGTGGCCACCAGCCAACACACATCCCTGTCTTTCCCCTCCCAGGGCTCATCCCAGAGGAAACCCCAGATGGCAGTTTTCTTGTGGAAGGGGACATCATTCGGCCAGTGAGTGCGCACTCCAGGGCCCTCTGAGCTCAGCCATGGGGGCAGCCATGGGAGGGACCTGTCTCAAGCTGGGTAGACAGTTCTTTCTCAGGGTCAGGGTATCTGTTCTGTGGGGGAAAGCAGCAGGGATGTGATGGGAGGGTGACGGCTGAGGTGGCACCACTTTCAACCAAGGAGGATTTTCTGGAGGAGGAGGTGGGAGCCCTCATGGTCCTGCTGGGGCCTCTGGCCGACCTTAGTCACCTGCAAGTCCCATCTCAGACAGGGCTTGCATCTTGGGTATGACGATCCCCACGCTGGCCCTTAACTCCCTGCACTTCCGCCCCCCGCCCCCCACCTCTCCTTTCTGTAGATACTTAGGGCATGGTGCCCTTGGAGACGGGAAGCTTTGGTGGCCTGTGTCCCCTAAGCTGCCCTCTCTCCTCAGAGTCCCTTCCAGCTATTGGCGGTAACCAACAATAAGTGGCCTAAAAGTGCTAGTGGTGTCGTGGAGGTCCCCTTCCTGCTGTCCAGCAAGTATGGTAAGCAGATGTGGCGTGCAGTCCCTTCCTGTCCAGGTTCTTCTCTGCCCTTTCCTCTGTGTGGCCACATCCCTTCTCCCCATCCACAGAGCCCTTCCATGGGGGCTGGAAGGTGGCATCTGACTGCCCTGGGGGGACACATGGCTACTGTCTGGTCCCCTCAAGACATGTGGTCACATTAAATTCTCACAGAGGTGTGGCAAACCCTACTGTGAACTTCGCATTCAAGGGATCTGGGTAGCTGCCCCAGCCCACAAAAATCTATGGAAAAGTCATCTTCCACAAAACCCATCTCTGATTCCAAAAACACCAGGGACCTCTGGCCTTGAGGGCTTGCATCCTGTCTGCGGCAGGGGCTCATCCAGGGTGTGTCATCCCCAGATGGTCCCAGCCGCAAGGTCATCCTGGAAGCATTTGCCGAGTTTGAGCATTTCACGTGCATCCGCTTTGTCGCCTATCAGGGCCAGAAAGACTTCATCTCCATCATCCCCATGGCCGGGTGAGTGCGGAGCTGCTGTGTCTGGCTGGAGTGTGCCGAGCTGTCTCTGGGCCCGCCTGGAGCCCCCCTTCCCTGGTGTGAGCATCCCAGTGCCCCAGGTGGGGACCCTGGCCTATGGAGTCTGGTCCCCCAGAGGCCTTGTGGAGAGGCCCTGGTTGGGATCTACAGTGCCTGAGACCTTTGAGTCCAGAGGAGGCCCCCAAAGCCCACGCTCCTTCTCCCTTCTCTCCCAGGTGGAAAGTAGCAACACCTAGCTTGTTAGGGACCTGTGATGAGGGGCATGGGCTCTGTGACCTGGGAGTTACAACACGGGCATACTCAATGACCTGGGTCTGTCGTCCCTGCGAGCATTCCTTTCTACTTCCCCTAGGCAGCCCAGACTAGCAACGAGGCTTCCTTCGCCCATTTTTCCCAAGGCCAGGCTCTCAAGGGACTTGGGAAAGGACCACAAACTTGGGCCTAGAGTCCAGATGGGTGATCCTACCCATCCCAGGACCTGGCAAGAAGAGATGGGACCTGCTTGCTCCATGCCTTGCCTGGCTGGCACCCTGTCAGCTCACTCTGATCTCTTGCAGGTGCTTCTCTGGTGTGGGCCGTAGTGGAGGGATGCAGGTGGTGTCCCTGGCACCTGCCTGTCTCCGCAGGGGCCGGGGCATTGTCCTGCATGAGCTCATGCACGTGCTTGGTTTCTGGCATGAGCACGCACGTGCCGACAGAGACCGTTACATCCGTGTCAACTGGCATGAGATTCTGCCGGGTAAGCCGGTGGGGCCCAGGTCAGGATGGGGTTCCCTTGCTCCCTGACTACTGAATCTGCAGTTATGCTGGATGTACCACTTGGGAGGAGAGGGCAACGTCTGCTCACCAGCTAGGGTGCTAAGAAGAGCAGAAACACAGGATGCAGCGGGCTGCCTGTGCCAGGCAAGGGGCAGAGGGCAGCTCTGCAGGGCTGGGTGTGAGAGATAGGTGCCGAGGGCACGTGGAGCCTTGGCATCCTGGGAGGCTGAGACCGGCAGGCAGAGAAGCCCCTGCTCAGACGCCAGTGAGCAGCAGCTGTGTGCAGGGATCAGCTGCCTGCCCTGAGGGCTCATGGCCTGGTCCTAGTCCCGGAGGTAAGGAGAAGACAGTGGGCAGCCTGATGCAGATGGGTGGGAGGACACGCTGCGGACAGGGTGTGCGGGGAGTCACAGGGTAGGCTCCTGGAATAGGGCCTCTCCTATGTAGATTGGGAGGCAAAGTGGAATCTAATAACAGAACCCCTGACAACTCTCACTTAGAAGTTAAACTGAAAAATAACAAGCCTTTCTTTGAGCTCTGGAATGAAAGAAGTAGCCGGGATTCTTAAACAATGGCAGTCACGGCAGGCTACATTAAGCCTTCTGCTTCCCAGCTAAGGCAGTGCTCGGGGAGAATGTGTACATGCAGATAGTTGTAGCCATAAAAATAGAAAACTAATTAAACGTGTCAATTTAAGTTAAGAGAAAAGCTGGAGGGAATGAAAGCTAAAAGCAGAAACGAGTGGGTTACAAAACGGCATTAAAGAACGTGAGAGTTGTGCTCCTAACACAATTGTTGTGCTCCCTCCACACTGGGCTGGGGACATAGCTCAGGGGTGCGGTGCCTGCCTGGCATGTGTGGCATCCCGGGTGCCACCCCTATAAACACCAGAAACCAAACAAAACCCACTAGTTACCTTAGTGGAGAGGGTGTGTTTTCTCCTAATAATACAGAAAAGGGAGAATACATTTGCATTTTAGTTAATATGGATAGAATGAAGTAATTAGCTGCCCTGGGGAGGGGCGGTAGGGTTTTAGAGGAGGGGTTGAAGTAGGAGACTTTGCCTAAGGATCTTTTAATAATCCATTTTTGATTCAGATGCATATAGTGCCTATGAAAAATTATGTTTAAAAATAAAGGGGGCTGGGGCTGGTGAGAGAGCTCAGCAGATGAAAGTGCCTGCTTAGGCAAGTTTAGGCAAGTGCAGGGACCACGGTTCAACCCCCGGCACTATATGCTGCACCAGCCCCGCCCCCAGGGTGGGCAGAGCAGCCACAAAGTCCAAGCATGGTGGTGCACACATGTAATCTAAGCACTGGGGAGGCTGAAAACGGCAGAATCAATGAATCCCACTGCTCAGTAAGACCCTGTAACAACCAAATAAATTAAAAAATACAGATAAAGGGGGCTGAGCGTAAAGGCATAAACCTGTAATCCTAGCTATTCAGCAGGCTGAGGCAGAAGGATCACAAGTTTGAGGCCAGCCTGAGCAACTTTTTATTTTTTGGAGACCAGCTCTTCCACACTATGTAGTACAGATTGACCTTGAACTTGTTTATGTAGCCCAGGCCAGCCTTAAACTCAGGGCAATCTTCCTGCCTCACTCTCCCAAATGCTGGGATTACAGGTGTACCCCAGCATGCCCAGCCTGGGCAACTTATTGAGACCCTGTTTCAAAATAGGAAGGGCTGGGAATGGAGGGCAGCACTCTGGGGTTTAATCCCTAGGACTGCAAAAGCAAAGAACTCTTGGGTGTGCTATTTCAGGCAGGTAGTGGCACTGGAATGCTGACCTATGCAGTGATAAGGTGGCTGGTAGTGACCCTGGGGAGGAGAAGGGTGTGGATGTCACGCTGCTTGGTCTAGGTGGTGGACAAAGGTGAAGGGCACAGCTGTCACTTCAGGAGCTCATGCTGCAGAGCAGGAGGGAGAGGAGGACATTGGCACCAGAAGAGCAAGTGCTTGGAGTGAGGCCTCAAACCCAGACTGGGGGAAAGCAGATCTGGAAAGCTGGGTGGATGGGTGTGAGGTGCCTGGAGCTTCTGGGACGACGCTGTGGGCCGTGGGTCGGGTAGTTCGGTCCCACAGGGAGGTTGGTCCTACCCACAGGGTGGGCAGCTGACTCGGGGAAGAGGAGAGGTGTAGGAGGGAGGGGTGGCCAGCTGTGAGGTCCTCGTGCTTCTGCCTCCCCTGGGGCAGGGCTGGATCCCCTGGGGCTGGAGGAGGGCAGGGGACAAGGACAAGTATGCAAGAGTTACACTTGGCTGTGGTGGCAGACTACTTGGCTTATATGGGTTACAAACTCCCAGGAGTCTGTCCTGCCTTCCTTGCTTGCCCTCCATACATTTCCAAGCTGCTGTTTTGTTTTTAAAGGCTTTGAAATCAACTTTGTCAAATCTCGGAGCAGCAATATGCTCACGCCCTACGACTACCTGTCAGTGATGCACTACGGGAGGTGAGCCAGCCCCGCCCTCCCTGCCCTTCCTGACTCTCCCTCTCCTGCCCTGCCCTCCCAGGCCCTGCAGCCTGATCCTGATGCAGGTCACCCCCGGTTTGCAGGCTTGCCTTCAGCCGGCGTGGGGAGCCCACCATCATCCCGCTCTGGGCCCCTAGTGTCCACATTGGCCAGCGGTGGAACCTGAGTGCCTCGGACATCACCCGGGTCCGCAGGCTCTACAGCTGCAGCCCAAGTGGCCCTGACTCCCAAGGGAGAGGTGAGTGGCATGGAGGGGCTGGGAGAGAGATGTGGGGGAAGGCTGCAGGAGGGAGTGGGGCAAAGTCACTGGACACTCAGCTTGGTTGATATAGGAAAAGCTTTTGAGAAAAGGCTTTGCATGTGATTGGCCAGGTGTGGTGGCACAGGCCTGTAATCCCAGCACTTGGGAGGCTGAGGCAGGAGGATCGTTGTGAGTTGGAGACCATTCTGGGCTATAAAGTGAGCTCAAGACCAGGGAGATGGCTCAGTGGAATAAGTGCTTCCCTGGCAAGCGCAAGGGCCCTAGTTCAATCCCCGGTTCTGAAAAAAAAAAAAAAAAAGACCAGCCTGAATTGCACAGTAAGACCCTGTCTCAAAGAGACAAAACAGGGGCTGGTGAGATGGCTCAGTAGTCTAAAGCACCTACTTAGAACAAGCTTAGCAAAAAAGCACAGGGACCGCAGTTCAATCCCCCAGCACCACATGCCAGCTAGCCCCGCCCCCTGGTGCGCTGAGCTGGCCACACACACACACACACACAAACAGGGCTGGCCAGATAGCTCAGCGGATTAAAGCACCTGCAAGCAGGTGCAGGGACAGGAGCATGAGGAGGAGGGTTCAATCCCCGGGACTGTGTGCCCAGCCCTGCCCCTGGGGTGTGCTGAGACAGCAGTTCAGACTGGGCATGGTGGCACGTACCTGTAATCCCAGCTCTTGGGAGGCTGTAAGCAGGCAGATCACTACAAGTCCAATCTAGTAGTGAGACCCTGAACACCCCGTAGATCCTTCCCTAAAAAAATACAAAAAAACCAAACCAAAACAAAACAAAAAAACTAACCCCCCCAAAAAAAAATTGTATAGGACTAAAACTTCTTAGCAGACACAAAGGTAATTTTCTTAACCTACGAGTGGACATCTACCAAAACCCTAGCACAATCATGATTTTTACTGGGGAAGCATTACAACTAGGATGAAGATTCCTTTTCCCACTATTGTCCACTTAACACCTGGGGGAGAGCCTGGCCATCGTGGTATGACAAGAAGTGAGCACTACACGATGAGGAGGGTCTAATCAGACAGTGCTGACAGCAGCAGCGTCTGTGAACGGATGACGAGAACCGAGCTAACGCTGCAAGGTGAATGTATGGATGTGTGGGAGCCGGAGACGTGGCGCTAGCTCAGTGGTCGCTGGCCTTAGCATACGCAAAGCCCAGGTCCTGTCCCCAGCACTTCACACCGCCCCCAAATGAATAAGTCGTATTTTTATGTAGCTTCAGAGAAGATTATAATACCTATAGTAAGAATAAGATCCCAAGGAAGCAAAGTGACAGAGCTATACAAAATGTCCATGTGCAGACATGTATTTATACATCACAACTTCAATACCCATCTCTTTACCCCAGATGAGGCAAACTTAAGGGTAAATAAAAACAAAATCTAGGGCTGGTGAGATGGCTCAGTGGTCTAAAGCACCTACTTAGAACAAGCTTAGCAAAGCACAGGGACCGCGGTTCAATCCCCCAGCACCACATGCCAGCCAGCCCCGCCCCCTGGTGGGCTGAGCTTGACACACACACACACACACACACACACACACATCTATTTAAAAAATACTAAATAGGGCTGGGCCTGGTGGCTCATTGCCTGTAATCCTGGCACTTGGGAGGCCGAGGCAGGAAGATTGCCTGGTGTTGGAGGCCAGCCTAGACTACATAGTGAAGTCAAGGCCAGCCTGGGCTATATAGTGAGTCCTGTCTCAAAAAAAAAAAAATTATATATACATCAGAGTCAATGATACGAAGACAAAGTTTTAAAAGTTAAACATGTCTCCAAATTGAGCTAGAGATTTCAATAAATTCCCACTTAAAATCTGAATAAGCCTTGAAGTTGATGGGAGGGTGTAATTTAAAAGTTAATATGAAAACTCAATAATGGCCAAGCACAGGGCTTACCCCAGCACATGCCTACAGCACCTGTAGTATGTATGGCATCTATAGAAGTGGACAGTACTGGCTTAGGGATAGAGGACTGCTCCCGGGTACAGGATGGAAAGTTCTGCAGGGGACCTCACCCCAAAGCAGAACCTCCATAAGAAGAGGACACTGTTGGTTTTTCTGTGTGTGTGTGTGTGTGTGTGTGTGTGTGTGTGTAACTGGGGATTGAACTCAGGCCCTTGTGCTTGCCAGGCAAGCGCTTATTCTACTGAGCCATCTCCCTCCCAAGTGGGCACTGTGGGGGCCGGCGAGACAGCTCAGCGGACTAACTGCCTGCTTAGGCAAGTGCAGGGCCAGAGGTTTGATCCCCAGCACCACCTGCTGTGCCAGCCCTGTCCTCAGGGCGGGCTGAGCTGGCCAGATTCCAGGCATAGTGGCACATGCCTATAATCCCAGCACTGGGGAGGCTGAAAGCAGGAGGATCATCACAAGTCTGAGCTGTGTAGGGAGACCCTGTAACAACCAAATACATAAAAAAAGAAGAGGGCACTGTTGATCTCTTGGGAGAGTGTGGGTTTGTCACCAGATAATTCTGAGAAAACCCAGTGTCTGCTTAAGGAAGGGAACTCCTAACTTGTATTATGCATAAATTTGTATTATGCATAGATAATGAGGATAGACTTACACGTACATGAAAAAACCTTAAAACATTTAGAAGAAAATATAGCAAGATGTCTCCCTAACTTTGGGGGGAGGGTTTCTCTAACAAGACAACAACCATATGCCTGAAACTAGAAGGATGATTCCTAAATGCAACTATATTAACCACAATGACCGCAGGTCAAAAATACAAGAAACAGTAGAAGTCGTGGCAAGCTCTAACTTGCTGTGTACAGAATTCATAGAGACTTTATTTTATTTTTATTTTTGTCTTTTTTTTTTTTTTTTTTGAGATGGGTTCCCCTATGCAGCTCAGGCTGGCCTTGAGCTCACTTTGTCAGCCAGGCTTGTCTCAAACTCACAATGATCCTCCTGCCTCAGCCTCCCAAGTGCTGGGATAATACGTGTGCACCACCACACCCAGAAGTAGACTTTATGTTTTAATGTATTTAGTACAGGGTCTACAGGGTCTCACTATGTAGATCAGATTCAGTCCCAAGTGCTGGGATTATAGGCGCATGCCACCATGCCTCTCAATCACATCTCAGCATGTCCCAGGGATGGGGTGGCATGGCACACGGGGGATCAAAGCCTGGCTGCTGGGCTCGGCCTAAGAAGATGCTTTGGTCCGCTGAGCTATCTGGCTAGCCCAACTTTCTTTTTTAATATTTTTATTCATTTGGTACAGGGTTTCACTAGGCAGTTTGAACTCTTAGTGATCCTCCTGTCTCAGCCTCTCCAGAACAGGGATTAAAGGCGTGCGCCACCACACCCAGCTTACTGCTTAGCTTTCTTAAAGATTTTTCCCCCTAATATCCATGTATCTTACTATATTTGAATACCATATTTTTTTTTTTTAAGTTAAAGGAAGTAACTTTAACTTTACCTGAGAGCTTTGTGGTCAGTTCGAGAGGTGTGGCTATCATAAGGACCAGACAGTTGGCAGGTTCTGTGGAGACCCCAGACACGTGGATGTGTTCAGTGGTTGAAGTGATGACCATCTGGGGGACAGAAGGGGTGGCTACAGCAGAGAAAGGAAAGATCACTCGCAGTGTTCAGCGGGGGCTTCCTCAGACCTAAGAGGATGGGGCCAGGAGTAGACGTGAGCCTGCGCACTGCAGCCTCAGACCCACAGTGAGGGAGGGGTTCCTGCAGGAGGGAGGCTGTTGGCAGAGGGGTGGGAGGAGGGAGACCATGAAGGAGAAGGTTCAAATTCACTGGCTAGAGAGGAGATGCAACCTGGCAGAGGCATGTGGCAGGAGGGAGAGACAGGACAGGAGGCTGCTCTGTCCTCTAGGGCTGGGCTGGGGCAGGCAGGTGGCCCAGGATGTCCCCGGGGAGAGGTTGTACGGAAAGCGGTGGAGGTCAGGGTGAGGCCTGGGAGTGAGGGAGGAGCTGCGGCTGGACCCACTGGTCAGCCAAGGGCCTGGGGTAGAGGGGCCACAGGAGTGGCTCTAGACAGTGGTCTGGATGTGGGTGAGACTCGGGGTTCTGTGTGCATGGATCAGTCCAAGGAAGGGTCTTGAAGGTGGGGGCTGCAGACCTGGGTTGACATCTGAGGAGTCCAGGGCATAAAGGGGAGGTCATACAAGGCCTGAACTGTGGCATATTGGGTGGTGACCTCGGGTCACTGGGGATCACTCTGCTGTCTTGCTTCTGCTGGGGCTATAGGAGTTTGGTTCTAAATGATATTGGTGGTTTATCACCTGTGTGCCAGGCTCTTGTCCCCTGCAATAAGCCAAAGCTGGCTTGGGCTCTTTGCAGAGGCCACACATGTTCCTTCTGTGATTCTGGGACCCGATTCTCATTTCTTGCTCCAGGGTTCCAGGCCCACAGCAGTGGAAGGAGCCCCACGCCTGCCTCCAGACCTTACCTCCAAAGACTCCTGGAAGCATTGCAAGGGGAATCCAGGAGCCCTGGGCCCAGTGATGCTGGGGCTGGCAGCCAGCGAGTTGCTGCAGGACGTGGAGAGATTATCCAGCAGTGGGAGCCCCCTGCCTGGAGAAAGTTCAATGAAGAGGTCTTGCGAAGGCCACCTCAGACCCTGGTTTCCTCCCGACGGTCAAGGCCTCGAGCAGGGGCACCGGGCAGGGCTCTGGAGCAGTCCTGGCTGGCCCAGGTGCCCATGGAACCTCCAACCCCATTGCCAGAAGCCAGAAAGCAGCTGCCACCTGTCCAGGCTGCTGTGGAGAGCCCAGATCTATCAGGAGGCTGGGAACCTGGAAGTCGCTTCAGGCAGATGCCCGGAGCTTGAGTTGGTAGCTTCTGTCCCCAAAGACAGAGCATGTTCTCCTGGAGAAGCTGCGTCATCTGAGCCTTGGCTCCTCTGGGCAGTACCTCTGTCTTTTAGTCCTGACCCAGCCAGTCTCTTAGTGGCCTGGGCTGTCCCCTGTGTCCCTTCCCTAAGTGCTCCTAGGGACAGAGGGGTCCTCTAGGTCTGTTGTGGAAGGCAGGCCTGGCTCAGCTTGCTGTTCTTTTGCCCCAGCCCTTGAGGCTGCAGAGAACGGTAAGAACAGGAGAAGCCAGAGGGAGGACCAGATGTGCTCTCCACCTCTGGTCTCTGTTTCTGGAGCCCAGTCCTAAGGGGCCATGGCAGGGGTGGCCCCACTTGGCCTCCTCCAGCCAAGCCCCACCCATCCCTTTCCCAAGCTCCTAGCTGACCCTCATGGTCTCAGGAGTGAAGCCACTCTCTGGGTGCACTGCAATCCCCAGGGGTTACCATTCTGGGGACCTGCAGATCACAGGTGAGAGGGAGCCAGGGACCTCAGCTGTTAGGGGAAAGCAGAAATAAAGTTGGGTGTGTGCTGTGTGCACCATGCTGTGCTGACTCTCACAGGTGAGCGCTGAGGTGGCCCCTGGGGGTTGCACCTTCTTTCCAGAGGGCAGACAGATTTCAGGGACCATGTGGATCTGTTTGAGGCACCATAGCTAGGGGCAGGTCCTGAGGCCAAGGTTGGTCCCAAAGTTCCAGCCACAGTGTGGATTTTGCCAGTTCCTGCAGGGGTCATGTGTTGGAACTGTTGGGGACGTGGGGACACTGTCATGGGTGGGTTAGGGGACAGTGCAGGGCAACAGAGCACACTGGCATTGTATCCTTAGAGTTAGATACAGGGGAGCAGGGCCTGTGCTACTTGGGGCAGTGTGTGTCTTGTGGCCCCTGTCATGGGACATGCCCTGTATATCACAGGCTGGCTAGTGTCTTTGGTTTGGTTTCTACCCATCTCCATCCCTGGGCTGTGCCAGCCAAAAGTGTCTCCAGACATTCAGTGTCCCTCGTGAGGACTACTGAGTCAGGGGGAGAAGAGGCTGAGACAGGGTGGTCTCTGAGGCAGGAGCAGAACCTGAGAGTTGGAGGGAAGGGGGTGCTCTGTTCCATCCCTGATCCCATCTGCTGAGAGAAGAGGAAGGCACAGACCTAGGCCTGGCCTTGGGGCCTCCTGGGGTTTACAGAGAGTGAGAGGAGCAGGGACAGGGCATGAGGGTTGGCAGTGGTTGCCCCAGAGGTGGAGGCAGGGACTGGGCAGCAGGGAGTGGAATCCTGGGTGAGGTGGCTGGGCTAGCCTGCAGGGACCAGGGAGAGGACTTGACCTTGGAAGCTGTGCAGGTGGGCACAGAGGGTGGGGCTGTGGGAAAGTCACAGTGGGGGAGAGGGGCTGGGAAGTGGTGATGGGGAACAGTTAGAGAGGGGAGGCGAACGTGCCAGGGAAGTTGGGAGGTTTGTGGTAGTGGACTTAAAGCAAAGCCAGTGGGTGCAGTGAGGGGGAAAAGGCAGCTAGGTCAAAGGAACAGGGTGTGGGGCAAGATTCAGGTCTGCCAGGCTGGGGTTCCATTAGGGTCCCTGTGGGACCGAGGGATAGTATGGCAGAGTCGGTGAGTGGGAGCTAGGCTGCAGAAGGTAGTGTGGAGATGAGGCTCCCAGGGGCTGCAGGCCGTAAAGCAGAGTGCAGTCCATCGGTTCAGTCCTGGGGGTACCCCCCACCAGCAGGTAGGGCAGGGACCTGCTGGGACTCCCCCACCCAAGACCCCTCTGCCACTTTCTCACCTTGACCTGGGGAATGAGGACCACAGGTCTTTCGGCTGCATTATCCCATTTCTTGTCAGATCTGGAAGCCAGGTGGGGACAATGGCCCCGCCTTTCCTTGAAAAAAAATGGCATTGCTTTCATGCTAGGTCACCTTTCTCAGTGGCTCTCTTTCCAAGGCATTGGGCACTGAGGGGTCCCACCTGTGTGTCACACGCCTGAAGGCACAGAGCCCTGGGCCAGGGACAGGAGCAGCTCCGCTGTCCCTCACCATCCAACAGCCTCCCCAAATCTGGGACAGGGCAGGGACCATTAGCTTGGAAGGACAGGAATGGTGCACTGAACCCTTTGGACCCCATATGGGCACGGTGTGCTGAGTGAAAGTGGGGTGCGTGCTTGCTATCAGGGACCTTAGGAAAGAGGCCTTTCCTCAGCCTGGGAAAGGGGGGCGACCTTAAAAGAGTGAATTGGCACCCTCAGAAGGGGGGGTGAAGAGGGGTGTCAGGTAGAACAAATAGCTCCCGGAAGGACTGGGGCACAGGGACTTGGGGCACTAGTTTGGTGCGGCAGGAACAGCGGGGTGGGGCTCTGATCGCACACGACAGGCCGGTAGAGGGCGCCACCGCGGCTTGGTGTGCAGTGGACCTGGGAAAGGCCCAGGTGATATTTCTCCTGGGGCCTTAGGGTAGGGAGGGCAGCAAGTGGGCACAGAGGAAGCCTGGCACTGTAAGAAGACGAGACAGAAGGCAGCCCCGCGATCCTCTGTGGGCTCAGCCTGAGGGTGGAGATGGTGGAAAGGGGGTCCTCATCCCCCTCCCCCCGCACCGCCTCCAGAGTGCTGAGACTCTGCAAGTCCCAGGGCAGGGGGTGGTGTTGACAGGAAGGAGCTTGCCGAAGCGGCCTCTTGCCCTCAATTCTTCCACCGTGGACTGAGAACTCTCCATCTCTGGTGACCACGGAAGGGCTCAAGCCCTGTCCACCCCAGCACGTGGGAAGGGCGCATCCTTAACACCTGTCTCCGCAGTGGCCTGCACTGGCCCAGGGCTGGGTAGGGGACATACACGATGAAGGCTAGCTGGCTTCTCCAAACCTTGTCCAGGCAGCATCGGCCCCATCTGGCAGTCGGGGAGTGACAGCAAGAGGAGGGAGGATGAGCCTGCTGGCGGATCCTGCACGGCTGGGCAGGTACTCTGGGGCCTGGCCTGTCTGGGTCTGTGAATGCCCAGAGGTAGCACGCCTTGCTGCATGGAGGCGCGCGGGCTGGCTCAAGGTGGGGGCCCTAGGGGGAGAGCCCCATGTTCAGAAATGGATGGGTGCCTACTTACACAGCACATCCTGCCGCACCAGGGGTGGCGGTAGTGGCTGTGAACGCAAGTCCTGTTCTCTGCTGGGCTTGTGCCATTAGGGAGCTCCAGAAGCTCTGTGTGAAGTCTCCCTGATGGCTGCTTTGCCTGCCGTGACAGCAACCGCGGGGAGAAGCAGGAGGAGGGTCTTGGAGCGAGGGTCGCCGCCCAGCAGCTCTAGGAGGAGATAGGGAGCTTATTGTGAACTTCTAACCTCAGTCCTCTTTCCACTGCCACCTCAAGAGGGGCTTCGGGTGGAGGGCACAGGGCATCCCGCCCCCGCGGTCCCCAGACCCGCCCGTACCTCTCGCCAGGTGCAGAAGACCCTGCCCCACCCACCCGGGTCTGTGCTGCGCCCAAAGCGACGTTCTCCTCCTATTGGTCAAGAGGTTGGCGGCCGCCACGCCCCCTTTCGGACCCGGCACTAAGTCGCCGTTGCTGATTGAGCCCCTCCTTACCTCCTCATTTGCCTTTTTCCGGGGAAAATGAGGCTACAACCAGAAAGCCGAAGTCACCACTGCCAGGGTAAGCAGTCACGGACTTTGCTGGGACGCGCGGTTTTGGTTTTTGGGTGGCCGCAGGCGGCAGGGGGCGCTCGCATCCCGGAGTCGCAAGTCGCCTCGGGTTATGCAGGTCCGAGGGCGTGCAGGCTAGGTGGGGACAGTCTCCCCGCGGCCCCACCTGTCACGGCTGAGGTGCTGGAGTGGCTTATAAGCTTCTGTGCCCCAACTCTCCGATCTCCTCTCCTTGGGGTTGCTGGACAGCAGGAGTGGAGAGCAGCTCGTGCCCACCGCCCTGTGCCCGGCGTCACAGTCCGAAGGAAAGTTGCCCCTTCTCAGTGCCCACGGACGCGTCAGCTCCGCGACTCAGTCCCCGCACGCACCGACCTTCCCTATTCTGCCCGTGTTCTTCCCAGAGCGGCCCCAGGACCCCAGACGCAGGGCCCCTCTGGCCCCTCGCCGCGCTGCGGTGGGAGGGAAAGGGGTGGGGGCGCAGAGCCTGCGGAGTGCCCCGCCCGCCCCCGCCCGCCCCCACCCTCCCCCGGCTCCGCCTCCTCGCGCGCTCCCCGCCCCAATCCCTTGCTGCGCGGGCTGCCTGCAGGCGCGGCTGCGGGCGAAAGCCAGCGAGGAAGCGAGCGCCTCGGCTCTGCGCCTCCTCGGGACCGTCGCACCACACCTCGGAGGGCCCGCTAGGCCCGCTCGCAGCGACGCCGCTTTCCTCGCGTCCCAGGCGGCACCGGGACGGTAGAGGGACAACTTGGAAAACTTTAAGGTGACAGCAGAGACGCAGGGCGCCGGCGGAAGAGGATGTAGGAGGACGGTGGCTGGCCGCAGGTGTCCCCGGACCTCTTAGGTCCCGTTTGGCCAGGACATGGGGCTCCGGCTTCCAGCGCCCCCCCGGGGCGACACCCTAGTGTAGCCGAGCAGGGTGGCGCGTGGTCCCGCAGTGCGCGCTTGGCGATCCGCGCTCTCTTTGGTCCCGTCATGGACCACCAGGAGCCCTATTCCGTGCAGGCCACCGCCACCATCGCAGCAGTCATCACCTTCCTCATTCTCTTTACCATCTTCGGCAACGCGCTGGTCATCCTGGCTGTGCTGACCAGCCGCTCCCTGCGCGCACCGCAGAACCTGTTTCTGGTGTCGCTGGCTGCCGCCGACATCCTGGTGGCTACGCTTATTATTCCCTTCTCGCTGGCCAACGAGCTGCTGGGCTACTGGTATTTCTGGCGCACGTGGTGCGAAGTGTACCTTGCGCTCGACGTGCTCTTCTGTACCTCGTCTATCGTGCATTTGTGCGCCATCAGTTTGGACCGCTATTGGGCCGTGAGCCGCGCGCTGGAGTACAACTCCAAGCGCACCCCGCGCCGCATCAAGTGCATCATCCTCACCGTGTGGCTCATAGCGGCCATCATCTCGCTGCCACCTCTCGTCTACAAGGGCGACCAGGGTCCCCAGTCCCATGGACGCCCTCAATGCAAACTCAACCAAGAGGCTTGGTACATCTTGGCCTCCAGCATCGGATCTTTCTTTGCTCCCTGCCTCATCATGATCCTGGTTTACCTGCGCATCTACCTGATTGCCAAGCGCAGCCACCGCAGAGGTCCCAGGGCCAAGGGTGGCCCTGGGGAGGGTGAGTCAAACCAGTCTCGTCCTGCCCCTGGGCAGCCTCCAGCCCCAGCCAAGGTGCCACCCTTGACCTCACCACTGTCTTCTGCCGGAGAGGCCAATGGAAACCACAAGCCCATTGGGGAGAAGGAGGAGGGAGAGGCCCCTGAAGACCCTGGGAACAGGTCTCTGCCACCCAGCTGGGCTGCAATGCCCACCTCAAGCCAGGGCCAGAAGGGTGTCGGCATAGCACCTTCGGAGGAGGAAGCTGAAGAGGAGGAGGAACGTGAGCCTCAGGCAACGCCAGTCTCTCCTGCCTCGGTGTGCAGCCCGCCCCTGCAGCAGCCACAGGGGTCCCGGGTGCTGGCCACCCTGCGTGGCCAGGTGCTGCTGGGCAAGGGCGTGGGTGCTGTGGGTGGGCAGTGGTGGCGTCGTCGGACCCAGATGACTCGGGAGAAGCGGTTTACTTTTGTGCTGGCCGTGGTCATTGGTGTCTTTGTGCTGTGCTGGTTCCCCTTCTTCTTCAGCTATAGCCTGGGTGCCATCTGTCCCCAGCACTGCAAGGTACCCCATGGCCTCTTCCAATTCTTCTTCTGGATTGGCTACTGCAATAGTTCGCTGAACCCCGTCATCTACACCATCTTCAACCAGGACTTTCGCCGTGCCTTCCGAAGGATCTTGTGCCGCCGGTGGACCCAGACAGCCTGGTGAGCCCACCTGTCCACTGCCTGGGTGGGGTACCTGCCAGGGCCACCCCATTGCCCACCCTGCTTTGTGTGGCTGTCTCTCTGGGGGCTTTCCGGTCCCTGCCAGTTCCTGTAGGCCTCATCCTGGGAGTTCCTAGGAGTTAGGGCAGAGGTGCCGTTCCCAGGGGTCTGTGAATGCCTCCCTTTGCTGGCTCTGCACTGGGGGGACCTCTTCTGCACCCCTTTTCTGAGCATAGGCAGCTTGAGCTGTGCTGAACGCACTTGGGCCTTCCCAAATGTTTCCCAGTAGGGTATTTCTCCTTCAGTCCCCCAGGGCCCATAGCTGGGTTTCTATTTCTTGAGGACCGTGTGTGCCTTGGCAGGTCACTTGCTTGTGGTGTTTTGTTTCTTCTTTATATCTCCCCCTACCCCAAGAGCAGGACGCCAGCTTCCCCATTTCCCAGGAGGTCCTGCTGCTGCTGAGGAAAAGGAAGAATGAAGACCGTTCATCCACTCTGGGCTCCGTGGGCCCCATGGGGCGCCGGGAGGGGTTTATAGGCTGAAATGCCTCTGGACCCTTCTCCCTTCTGCTCTGGGATCTGAGGCTCCTTTAAAGAACAGAACTATGGATCACTTTTGTCACCTGGCCCCCTCCGGCAGGCAGGTGGGCATGCGGATGCCTCGATGGGAGCTCCCTGATGGCTGGCATTCAGCCCCTGAAAAAATCAGGGCGACAATAGCTCGCCGCCTACTTGCTGCAGGGAGATGAAAGGCTTTGCAGAAAGCTTTGAGCTCCACAGGGGAACGCACTGGAGAACCAGCAGAAGTGATTATCCGGTGATATAAAAATCCCTTTTTGCGTGTGTTTACCACCACCCGCCTTTCTGGAGGCTCTTGTTCTGTTTCCGGGGTGTGTGAATTCCTGCCCCAGCTTGGAAGTGGCGAATGGCACACAGAATCACTATTTCGAGTTACAGAAATTCTTTGAGAATGTGTTCTTGCGCCCACAGAGATTTGGGTTATTGTGTTGGGTGACAGCTTCTCCACATGTCACCTATGACATCAAGAGGGTTTTCAGTGACTTTGGCTTCCACCTCCATGAGGGGATGTCTTTTGTCTGCAGTGGGCAAATAGTTTTCCTGAGACAGCTAAAAATCGCTACACCATGGAAGCTGTCTGTGCAGAGAGCCCAGGAGGGTGGCAGAGTCCCCTGGCAGTGTGCTGAGGCTGGGGCAGGCAAGCTGGGACCCATAGACTCGTCAGGAGCTGCCTGTGCAGTGCCTGGGGAAGCTGCTGGGCCAGTGAGGTCCTTGTGCTGCATCCACTGGTCCCACCAGTGGATCACTTGCCCATGCCTAGAGTTCTGCCGTGATGTGAGCTATGGCCGAGGGGCCTCACCTTCCTTGTTCTCTCCCTGCCCCCAAAACTGGTGCCTGGAACAATTGGACACCTGCAAAAGACATTTTCCAGCCGTCCCTATGGCTTGTCTGGCTGCATACTGGGCCAGCAGGCCTCCTAGCTTGGGGAGCAGGGGCCGGGCTGAGCAGCAGAAGCTCTTGGTGCTCTGATGGGCCTGCCAGATTGGGAAGAGAGTCACCCCAGGGGAGGAGGGGTGTCCTGCCTGGTCCTCACTTGATTGCACTTGTGAGCCAGGACACTGTCCTGTGCTGCGGTGGGGAGGCTGGGCTCAGCAGACCAACCGGCTGGTGACCATCCTCTGGCTAATCACATGTATCCTGTAGGAGCCTTGAGATTATGGCTTGTAACATGCAAGTGGTTTTTTTTTTTTTTTAAAGTCTGAGCTATTTTATCAATAAAGGATATTTTGTAATAAGCAAGCAGAGTTCTCACTGTCCAAAGGCTGCTGGAGTATTCTTCAGCCTCTGTGCTACACGCAGGGGTGTTGGCTCCAAGGGTTGGAGTGCTGGGGCCAGCTGTCTGCCCCCCACAGCATCCTTGGTCATTATCATGAGCCAGTGCTGGTGAAGGGGGCTGGAGAAGCCCAGTACCTGCTGCCGGGGATGGGGAGGGCCTCCCAGAGCAGGTGCCCTTCAGGTTGGGTCTTGGGGAGCAACTGGTGTATAGTCTGGACTGCAGGGCCACCTCGCTATTCCCACATTGCCCAGAACCTAGGCTTTTTACCATCTTCATGTTTCTTGTCCTATACTTCTATTAGGGACAATAAGCTGAGACCCCAGTTTGCCTACCACCATGGTGGTGGCTTTGCCAACAAAAAAGTGTATTTGAAAGCCTATTTTGAATATTGTTTCATTTTTTTTAAACATTTATTTATGTGTGTGTGTGTGTGTGTGTGTGTGTGTGTGTGTCCAGCTCAGCCCACCAGGGGGCGGGGCTGGCTGGCATGTGGTGCTGGGGGATTGCACCGCAGTCCCTGTGCATTGCCAAGCTTGTTTCAAGTAGGTGCTTTAGACCACTGAGCCATCTCTCCAGCCCCTATTGTTTCATTTAATTCTCATACTCTTGGTTTTTGCAAAAGAGGAAACAGACACAAGATCACCCAGCTGGGTCCAGGGGTCATAAAACTAAAATTTAGGTGCAGGAGAATTGTGGTCCCCTTTTTGAGTTAGCTTTTATTCAGTGGTGTTGGCTGCCTGGAAGTTCTGAGATGACATCTAGATGGATTCAGTAGGCAGCTGTGCTGTGATCAATTGCTCATGTCTGTCACTGCTGCAGAATGTGTGAGCATTTGTGTGCTTGGGCTTCCCATTCCTGACAGTTCAATAAAATTCAGTCCCTGAATTTTACTGAGGAAAAAACAGCCTCAGAGAATGAGTTGCCTCAAGTGGCCTCACACAGACACATGGCAGCAGAGTTGACTCTAGAACCCAGGCTGCCCAGCATGTGGTATCTTGTGAGGAAGCACTTGCCCTACCTTCAGACCCAAGGAAGAACAGGCCCATATCCAGGACACCTCTGCCACCACCTGCTGGGTGCCAGACATGGGTAAGCTGGTCATTTCCTTCTTGCAGTGCTGGGAATCACACCCAGGCCTACATGCTAGGCCAACTCTACCACTGAGTCACCTCTGGCCCCATTGGGCTTGCCTTCACTTGGGTAACTTGTTCATTTCTCAGATAACAAAACTGAGGGGCAGAGGACAGGAGGCGAGCAGGGGGCTGGCAGCTATCAGGTGGAAGTGTGCAGTCTTGGGCAGGCAACCCACCTTCTGAAGACCCCACTCTTATGACAGTCCTTGGCTGCATGGTGGCCCCAACCCAGGAGACAATTAAAGAGGTGAGAATGGGAAACCCTGCCTGCTGCCACTGCTCTGGGGGAATCTGGGGCCTTCCAAGTCAACTTCTGCCTCAGGACAGCTGCTGAGAAGCTGGAGCCACTGAGAATTCTTCTATGGAGCATTGTGGCAACAGCATTCCTGGTTATCCTCTCGGGAAGTTAAGGCTGGACACTGTGACACACATCTGCAAAGCCAGCACTTGGGGAGGGTGAGGCAAGAAGATCGCTGCAGAATGTGTGAGTGTGTGAGGCAGGAAGATCACACTGCTGTGAGTTCAAGGCCAGTCTGAGCTACATAGCAACACTGTCTCAACAAAGCAAAGCAAAGTGAAGCAAAGCACAAAGATTCTGGGGCCTCCAGAGCCGGAGCTAGACGGAGGCATGGGGGTAATCAGGCCTTGCATCCTTCCCGTCCTCTGTGCATTTCCAGCGAGCATGGGTGGTGGTGGGGTTCTGGGAAGGGCACGTGAGGCCCATCCCCTGGGTTTGCTGAGTGGGAGGAGGAATCCGCCCTGCTCCGTTGGTGCTGGGCAACCTTTGGCTTCCCTGGTGTTCTGGGCATTCTGCTCACAGGGCCTGGTGGCTGTGGGTGGCAGGACTGGGCTGGGGCTGCATGCCCAATGATGAATGTCCCAGGGGAGGGGAGGCAGCCCTGGTTCATGTCCTGGTCCTGCCACATCTGTTGGGTTGCCCTGGTCAGGCTACGGTTCCTCGCGGGGCCTCTGTGTCCTTGTCTTGCCCCAGGGCTCCTAAGCGGGGCTCCCTCTGCCCTCCTGGCCTGGCTCCCTGGGAGGTCTGGACACACAGCTCCTGGCATTAACCAGCCACTCCCAGGGCAGGCTCACAGGCAGGGTAGGGCTGTTTTCCTCTCCTTTGTCCCCCTGTGCTGGACTGGACACCAAGTCTGGAGTACCAGGTCCACCTGTGTGCCGGGGAATGTGTGGTAAGGGGGGGAGCTAGGACAGCTCTGAACTCTTAGAGCTCCATCTGAGATCCATGCTACTGTTATCTATGCTCTACAGAAGGGGATACTGAGGCAGAGAGCACACTTGCTAGGGTCAGCTGGTGTCAAGACAGGAACCCACCCATTCCAGTCTCAGTGTCATTATCTGGGCCTGGCTTCAGTCTCCTTGACAGCCCTGCAAAGCTCCGCCTGGGCCAGCCTCAGGGTCTTCCTAGCAGAGACTGCATGTGGCTCTGGGGTTGGTCTTGCCTGCTGGCACTGTTAGAGCAAGAGCCCAGGCAGGGGAGTGGAGCCCTCACCCTCTTGGCACTGCTCCCTGTCAGCAGAGGGCCCGGCGCCACCATCTAAAATTAGATCCTGGGATTCTTCACTCTCGCATCCGTCCTTTCTTCCGGCTGTGCAGGAAGGCTGTGGTCAAGGCCGGCACTGGCCAGGGCCTGGATGTCAGGTCGCACCCTCCCATTTGTGGGCTCTGATCTTCTCACACCCAGGTTGGCCCGGGGCCAAAGGCTCTGCCCTTGGCTTGGCCTTGTGGCTCTATTGATTAGCAGTGACTCCAAAGCAAGAGAGGCTGTGCGTCCCCGGGGCTCCAGCCCCCTCCTCCTCATCCCTTTTCCTGGCCCTTCTCACTTCTGGGGCCTCAGGGACCATTCCCCCTCCTTGAAGCCCCAAGTTGCCTCCTGTGGACCTCTGGCTTCTGTCCCACCCTGGGGGAGATGATCCAGGCTCTTTCCGGCCCCTGCAGACTCCACGGACCAGTGGTGACTTCGAGGGAACCAGAACAGAATGGAAACCAAAAAAGAGCCTGGGAAGTTGGGGCTATTTCTGTCCCTGCTGGGGCCCGCTGGGGCCCCTGGCTCTCAGGCTGGGCCTTGGGGGAGGTGCTGACCAGCCCAGGTGTGAGGGTCCTGACCTTCCTTTCCCTGTGTGGGTGGGGGACAGGGAACCTAGGGGTGGGAGGTTTCCAAACTCAGGCGGCCAGGGCTCCCATGGAGTGACCCCCCTCTCCCTACTTCCTGGTTCCTTTGGCGACCTGGGGCCACTTCAAGAGAGAAAGAACTGCGTTGTGGTGGAGAGGGACCCAGGTGTCCCTGTGTCCCTTTCCCACCCTGCCCAGCTGCAGCTGTGAGGGACGGAGCGTGAGAGGCGGCCTGGCCTGCAACTTGGATTCCCTGGGCCCTTAGGGGGAGGGGAGGTAAGGGTTAAACCTCCCAGGGCAGAGGTGGGGAGGTCGAGGCAGCCCCTCCACGGTCTCTGTGCCCTTTTGGTAGGTGCCTCCTGTTCACAGCTGTCCTGGGGTGAATCCGGGCAAGCTGCGGCCCCTCCCCCTCCACTGGCCTGGCCCCTGGAGTCAAGGCTGCCAGCTAGCAGCTTGGGGGATTCCTCAGTTTTTCCGACACCCTGGCAGATTCTAGCAGGGTGGCCAAATTGCTGGGTGACCTGGGACAGATCCCTTTCCCTCTCTGGGCTTCAATTTTCATGACATCTTGGGCCACCAGGCAGGGTAAAAGAAGAGGGGAAACTGAGCCCCCTCCTTTTCTGCTCTTTGGCTTGAGGAGAAGCACCCCCTCCTGGCCATCAGACTCCCTCCTCTGTCCTGCCTGCACCTACCCAGCCTCCACCCAGTCCCATCCCCAATTCAAGGACACCCCAGTCACCTCCTGTCCAAGGAGGGGAGGCAGGACTTGATATGGCATCTACCCAAGTTTGCCATTGTTGGGGGCGAGAGGAGGAAGTGAGAAGAGACCATGGAGGTTGGCACATAGGGACTTTGTTTCCATAGAACTTCAGGTGACATGGGGAAGATGTGACTCCAAACAATAAACCAACATGCCCTGCAGCCTGGTGCCAGAGGGAAGGACAGCAGGGTGTGGCCTTGCCCAGGGCCTCTGCTGTGCGGCCAGCGTAAGAGCAGGCGCTCAGTTGCCTCTCACCATGTCAGAGCCTAGTACAGAGCTGGTGCCCAGGATGTAGTTCTTGGGCTGGTGAGTTTTCCAGCAGACTGGGGCCATCCTGGCATTTGTCATCTGAAGCTGGTGACCCTGGGCTCTGGGGATGTCTCCGACGCAGGATTTTCATTTTCTGTTTTGTTTTTGTTTTCTCTGTAGTTTCCTAGTGAAATTCTGCTGGGATTCTGCTGGGAGAGTCCATTTTGGCAGAGCTAGATGCTGGAGAACTGTTCCCACAGAGCAAGGTAAAGCTCCAAGGCCTCAGAGGGGCAGTGGCAGGGACTAGCCCTGGAGGGTGGAAATGTAGATGGGGCTGGGTGAGGAGGGTGAGGGCTAGAGAGGGCGCACAGGGGTGAAGAGCCCAACTTACTGGCTGTGTGGCTTGACGCACACTGCTAAACCTCTCTGAGCCTCGATTTCCTCACTCTTACAAATGGATAATGTTGGCTGCGCTGAGCTTGGAGGGGTGTTGGGAGGTAAGATTCTTTACAGTGTTAGGATGTAGAGTTGGCACCCTGAAAGGCAGAGCCACTGAGGTACTTCAGATCTCCAGGTCTTCTCCTATGTGAGCTGGTAGAATCTCTTGTCACAGGTATCCTTGACCCACTGCTCAGGGACACCTGGGAAGGAGGGGTAGATTCTGTACCCTGAAGTTAGCTGTGTCTTGCACCCACGCCGCTCAACCTACTCTCCCTCCCCTCATGCTTCTCAAGGTTCCCAAATCCCTCCCACAGACAGCTCTAGTCATTCTCTCAGTGTACAACTGGGACGAGAAAGTTCTCAGACAATTGTGTCAAACACACCATATCTATGTCTATACTCTATGCTGTGTCCATGACAGACATCAGTAAGGGATTCCAGAACTCCATGAGCACAGACAGGGATTCAGGGAGCCCCAGGCAAGCCTTTGTAAATGATTACCAAAGTGAAAGGTCTGGTCCTGTGTGAGCAAACCCACCAGGATAGGGGTCCTCCAGGAGTGCCTGGGGACCTTGAGAACACTGCATCTGGAAGGAGTTGCTCAGAGAGATTGCAGTGGACAGCACCTTGGCACAGGATCAGGAGCTTCTAGAGCCAGAAACCTGGGGCTTGGCCAGAGTGGGCAAGAAGGTGGGACCCCTCGGGGGCCCCCTCTCTCAGAAGCATTGAAGGCAAGAGTGGTTCGAGAGTCTCTTGTCCCATGGTGAAAGGTCCCAAGGTCCCTGTGGTCCCCTTGGGCTGTTCTCAGGCAGATGGTATTGCTCTCTGGGGTCCCCAGAGTGGAATTTGGGTCCCAGATTGCCCCGTGCTCTGCAGACATGGGAGTCCTGCTCGTCCCACTCCGGCAACCCCTGGTCCCCTGGTGTGTGTCAAGTTACTTCATATGAGTTGCTCACTGATATCCAGGACCTTGTGGCCTTGGCCAGCAAATGGTGATATGGTGCAGGCTGCCCCGACACCATCTCTCAGAAGTGCCAAAATATCCCTAGAAGTGTGATGAGGTGGAGGAAACCACATTTATGAGCGGTCCTCCCAGGAGGGAAGAGTTGGGGCCTCCAGGACAGACTTGAGTAGGGACAGATGGCATGCATTCCTTGAGCCACCTCCGAGGAGGGTAAGCAACTGGGTCTGAGCATGGCATAGCTTCCCCAGGGCTGCACAGGCCGTGTGGAGTTGAGGTGGGAGGGGCAGGGCTGGGACACTGGAGTGGGCAGTGCCCTGCTGGTCACAGTCACAGCTGGACCGCTGGTCTAAGAGAAACCATGCAAAAGGCCTCGTGTGGAACCCACCAGGACTCCTGGGCCCCTTCCCACCCCAGCCTCCCATGCACAGGGAGGAAGCCACAGGCAGGCAGTGAGTGGTGACCAGCAGGTAGGAGAGAGGCCAGCGGCTCCAAGGTTACAGAGCACTGGGGGCCATGGCAGGTGACACCCTAGGGAAGGCCCTAGTGGGCTGGACTTGGAAAGAGGGACAAGAAAGAGGATTGGGTCTTTCTTTGCTCCGAGCCCCCCCAACCCCCACTCCGCCTGACCCCAGTCTGTCCCCTTGGGGCTGGGGGCAGTGGGGAGTGAGGCCCAGCGCCCACAGCCCAGCTACAGAGGCGGGTGGACTAAAAATAATCTGGGATGTCAGGATCTCTGATCGTCAGGAAGTAGGGAAGAATGATGAGTGCTGGGAGCCACCGCCACAGATGTGGGGGCCGGGGTGATGGGAGGGGAGGGGACACAGTCACTGCTAGAGGCTGAAGGTGGCCTGTGAGCTTGTTTATTTCTTCTCTCAGGCTGCTGCTCCCGGGGTCTGGCAGAAGCACTTGGGCCCCAGGCTGGCAGGGTCCTCAGAGCCTCCCTCCATACCTGGGCCCCGGGAAGCCCTGAAAATCCAGTCAGTGGGGAGTGGGAGAGGGGAACCCTGAGGAGGCAAAGAGAAGCAGGTTTTAAAGACCCCTTTGGGGGGCAAGAAAACCCTGCCGTGTCTGTTCATTTCAGACCCTTCTGTTTCTTCTGAAGAAGGAGGTAGGCTTAGGTTTGCAACCCAGGTCTACAGCAGGAGGCTACCAGAGCCCAGGGCTCGCATACCAGTGTAGCCCATTGTCTGGGTCTGGGTCTCGGCCTCCTTAGGGGTAAACAAGGTGGCCCTGCCCTTTGCTCTGAGTTCCTGGTGAGATAGGTGGGGCAGGAGCAGCACAGCATAGTGGACATAGGACACGGCCCCTCTTGTTCTGACTCTGCTTGGGGTCCCCAGAAAGTGCCAGCTGCTCTCTTGGTGCCCTGGGGTACCAGCTCCTCCAGGCCCCGCAGGCCCTCCTGTGACCTGAGTCTGCCTTCCTCTTCACCCTCCTTCCTGTCCTCTCTCAGTTCTGGTTGTCCCAGGTCATGGCCCACTGGCTCCCCTGCAGCCTTGGCACAGCCCCCAGGACTCCCTGTGACCCGTGGTCCTGGTCGCAGCCAGCTGGGACAGCTCATGCATGAGCACCCTGGGGTGGGCCAGGCCTTCCGTGTTCCCACAGATACAGGACAGGCTGTGTCCAGGGGACACATGTGGGAGGCCAAGTTCAGTGGCAGCTTTTGAGTAGGGGCAGGGAGCACCCTGCATGGCCGCCCTGCATGTACAAGTCTTGGATTCTGTTTTTCTTCTTGTCTTCTGTTTTTTTTTTTTT